TTCCAATAGTAATTAAACCAACTGTCTTATTGATTTGGGAATTGGATGCCGACTCTCTGGCTTCTTCATGCTGAACAGGGGCGTATCTGGGGCTCTTTTCTCCTCCTGACAGTAAACGTGCTACAGCAGCATGAGGTCTGGCACCAGCGAAGAGAAGTACGCACAGCGGCTGTGTGGCGCTTTGCTCTGAAGCTGGGACAGGCCGACTCCTGGAACGGGCTGGGTAGTCAGCTTTTTCAGCTTTACAGGCCACACCAACTCTCTGTTGCTTTTTCTCCATCACCTTGAGTTTCGTTTGTTTGTTTTTCAACCTATTACAAATGTAAAAACCATTCTCACCTTATAGGCTGGATTTGACCTGAGGAAGTAACAAACAAAAACAACAAAATTGTAGATCTCTCTCTCTTGGGCCCAGTTCATTCTGTCCTGTTCCAGAAACCAGGGCAAATGCAGAGATCATCCCAGCAGCAGCTGTGGCTGGACTGATGGGATCATTTCTGACTTGGAATCTGACGTAGGATGAACCTAGCACTGTCTAACCTCTGCACTCACACCCCTTCCTCCCACACAGCCCCTAGCAAGCAGTGAGCCTTAAGAGAGGAACCCTGCTGGTTCAGTGGTCAACCACTTGACTACTTAACCAAATGGTAAGTGGTTCAAACTCACCAGGCTCTCTGCGGCAGTCGGCGTCCGTAAACATTATAGTCTTGGAGACCCTTTGCCATTGTTGTTGTTGCTGTGAAAGAACCAACTCACAGTTGACCCTCTAGTGGGTTGTCAGAGGCAGTAAGTCGCACAAGAGATTGGCCATCCTTCTGCAGAACAGCTGGGGGATTTGAACCATATGCCTTTGGAAGTGCAGGACAGATTCTTATTACTAGGTCACCAGAGCTCTCTGGCAACCCTATAGAACAGTTCTGTTCTACTGTATGGGATTGTTAAAAGTCAGAATTGACTCAACAGCAGTGACTTTTTAGAAGACCATTAAGTACATTCCCTGTGAAGTAATTTTAAAAATAGCCATTGTTTTCTTGGCCACACATTTTTCTTCCAAAGCATGAATCTTGGTTAAGTAATAACGGCAAATGCCTGGTCTGGATGGGACTAGGGATTTGTTGACTAGAAAGTCAAGTCTACAAAATAGAGGACTTTTCTACTGTCCTTTCTGCAAAAGCGAGAGCTTCCCCACAGGATACGGGAAAGGAAAGTTGAATATTGAGTGTTTCCCCAAGGCCAGATCAGTGAAACAATTCTCCCTAACAGGCCAGGTGAGCTTCACTTTGTGGCCACCGAGAGATGGGCTACTGGAACGTCAGAAGTACTGGACACGCTCAGGAGAAGCCTCCATCCAGTGCCGGGGCCTCTGCCAGTCACTTAGAAGCAAAGATAAGACTATAAAGGAACAGGGAAACTAAAGTACAATAACAGGAAACAAAAAGCACGCCATTGGTGAGATTATTTGTGATGAGACACATTGTGATAACCAGAGCTGGTGTCCCTGAACAATTTGCATGAAACTTGTCAAATGGGAACATAGCTAACGTTCTGAGTAAACGTTTGTTGAGTAAGCATGCACCAGAAAACCCTTAAAATATCATTTAAAAACAAACAAACAAACATTGCTAGGATTTCCTATGTATCTTTGCGTGTTCATGGGGAAGGGGCTTCGCCACATCCAGCTTGGTCTCTTTGGTGGTGGTTTGTGATTCGGCTTGCGAACGTGGAACTCACAGCTGTAAGAATGATGCCAGATTTCACCCCTAACCTCCATGTGTACAAGGGGCCAACCAGGACCCGCTCTTTAAAGCGCGTTTCAGAAAAGTGCTGTGTTTTCATTGTCTTGTTACCTGGCAAAACAACCCCAGGCGCTGTGTGAGTCACCAGTAGAGATTGTAAAGACTGAGGCAGTAGAAACAGCCTTGCAAACGGTGAATCTCAGCGTGGACGAAGATGCTACAGCAGAGCCCTCAGAGGTGACACTCGGGAGAGAAGACAGCAAACCGCCGAGAACTTCCCTCATGGCGTTTTTCAGACAAATGGTAAGCCACCTGCTTCCTATTCTGCAAAGTGGAAATACCCAGGCCAGGATTCCCAGAGGCCACAGGCGTAGAAGGCATGTGTAATTTTGGTAGTGTTGATAGATAGAATATGAATGCTACCGGAAGGGGATCCCTTTCCTGTCTTGAGATTCACTCCATAAACCATCTTGTGAGTCACAGAGAAAGTTTCTAGGCAAGAAGCTTTAACCTTCCTAATCTTCCTTTCAGGGAGCTCTGATGGCTTGGTGGTAAGGAGGTACGCTTCCAACCCAAAGGCATGCAGTTTGAATCCACCAGTTGCTCCTTGAGAGAAGATAGACTATCTTCTTTCACTAAATCTACAGCCTCTGTAAACCTGCTGGTGGTCAGTTATGAATCGGTTCTTCCTCAATGATACATAGAAACAACAATCTCCTTTTTTAACAAAAAGCCGACATCGGCTTCCGTTCCAGCACAGCCACCAGCATCCCCTGGAAGTCAATGTCATTGTCAGCTTGTCACCTTATCTATTCTTAATGTCTCCTTTTTTTGACAGCAAATTATACTGTTTTTCTTGTTATCTTAATGTTGGGTTATTTCCTTGGAAAATATGGTTATTTATATATAAAAAAAACCCATAGTGTATCTTAAGTGTATTAAAGAATCCAGATTGGATCTTAATGAGGAAACTATTTTGAAGGTACAATGAGAAAGATGCAAATTTGGGGGAAACTGACTTGTAGGTAAATAAGAAAAGCTAAAAGAAACTTCTAATAATTCTAGAAGAGTCCTGACTATCCCCCAGACGGCCAGAAGAACTAACGAATCTGTCTCGGATGAGAAAGCACAGCCAGAATGCTCCTACCAGGCAAGGACGGTGTAGTTTTGGTCCTTTGGGCATGATGTCAGGAGGGACTAGTCCTTGGGGGGAAAATATCATGCTGGGAAAGGTGAAAGGTCAGAGAAAGAGAGGAAGACTCTCAAAACAGTGACTGGAGCAACGGGCTTGAACACAGCAGAGAGGATGAGGATGGCACAGCACAGAGCGTGGCTCAGACCCGTTGTTCATAGGGTCCCTATGAGTCATCGTTGCCTCCACGGCTCCTAACAGCAACAATAACCTTGCTTCTTAGCTGGTAAGTGGTCTATCTTTTCAGGGTAGAAAGGTACAGAGATGAAGCACTCGAAATGAAAAATCAGCAGTTTGAACCCACCAGGCAGCTATTTCACAGGAGAAAATTGTGGGGAATCTTCTCTGTCTATACAGATCACCAGACCCACTGCCCCTGATGCCTTGCACTCTCAGGGACCCTATAATAAGACACAGCAGAACTGCCCCGTAAAGTCTCCATGGCTGTAAATCTTCATGGAAGCGGACTGTCCCATCTTTCTCCCTCAGAGTGACATGGGAATTTGAACCGCCAGCCTTCCAGAGAGCAGCTGCACACTTTAACCACACTACCACCAAAGCTCCTGCATATTGATTAAAGTAAAACCCACCTTTATGGATTCCATCTCAATCCCAGCAGCACTCCATACACAGTTTCTGAGGCTGTAAATCTTTCTAAGAAAAGACTGCTCGTCTTTCTCTCATGGAGCAGCTGGGGGGTTCAAACTGCTGAACTTTCTGTTAACAACTCACTACATTATGCACTAGGCTGCCAGAGCTCCCTACACACTCACTGCCATTATGTCGATTCCTACTTAATAATGACCTTCTGTCAGATCACTGAGGCTTTCAATCTTTACAGGAGGAAACGGCCCATCCTTCACCTGCTGGGGGGGTTCGAACCACTGACCTTTCAATTAACAGCCAAATACATAACATGCTAGGCTACACACAAAGGTTTCAGCCTAAGAAACACTATGGGGCAGTTCTCCTTTGTTTAGAGGGTCACTATGAGTCAGTGGATTTAGAAGACTATGTAAAGCCGTCTTTTAATGCCTGAGAAGAATCATATCATATACATTAAGTATCTAAACCGTCTGGAACCTAAATAATATAATACAACAAACTCAGATCAGTTGGAGAGAGAGAGGGGAATAAAACAAACCATGGAAAATGTTAATGGTTTAATTCTCTTTTAATGAAAAACAAGAAGTTCATTACGGTGGGCTTTCATTTTTCCAAAGTTGTTGGGGGTTTAATCCCTTGAGAAAACAGCTCTCTGATTTCACAGGCTCACCCTGTTGAAGGATTCTTTCTAGTCCACAAAAACCAAACAAAACAAACAAAGTCCTTGCCAGTGGGAGTTGAGGCCCATTAGGAGCGACTGTTAGAAAGTGTTGGCTGGCTTTGTTTCCCCTCCTTGTTAAACCCTTGCAGAGTGAGGGGCGTGGAGTACAAATCGGACACAAATGAAACCCCACCTAAACTGCAGGCCGTTCGCCCTGTGATTTCGAGCTGGGAATGGGTCTCAAAGTTGGTGATTTTGAAAAGTGTTTTTCCACAACGCCAGGGAAGAAAAGAATGTTTGAGCTGCCTTTAGCAACTGCTCTGAATTATAACTGGGATTTCCAGGTAACTGGCCATCATCTTGACCCAACTTTTTGTATCTGGATGAAGTTGGGGAATCCTGGGGGCAAAAAAATTAGAAAACAGAACAACAGAAAATTAGGAAATGGAACCATTCTCTTCCAAATAATCACCTGGAAGCTCCCCTCATCTGAAAGAGAGGAGAGAGCATACAGAGATGCCAAACAAAACCAGAAGGGCCTCAGAAAAACGCACTGCTTCTCCCAAGATAGATCCCTATCTTCACATGAGCTTCTACATTAAATTAATTTCTCCACCTCCAAGCTTTCTGTTACACGTCGCTGGGTGAAAATTCTACAGTAGAAAAGGAAGAACTCTATTGATAGGGGAACCAAGCAGAAATAAAAGAGTTCTTTGGCATTGAAGTTCCATATGATAAGGGAAGTAGAAGACCATTATTTCAAGTAACCTTCATGAATTCAAAGCACTGTATCGTACAGTTTCCATTACTTTATAGTTACCTGTTGCCTGCAAAAAAGGCTAGGCTGGGGAACATACTGTTATACTTTCCTTTAATCTTTAAACATGACTCCAAGACTTCCATGATATTTAGGATTTCCCCTGAAGATTCCAGATCTACCAAGTCCCTTTTTCTTTTATTCTGATTTATTTTCCTTAGAACACTGCAATGCCATTGTAACTTATACAGATACACAAGTCAGGGGACTTCTAGTTTAGTGCAGGCCTCACCACTCCGTTTTGCCTTTGCCACTGAAGCACACTCATTTCTGTTCCTGGCCTGATCCCCATGGGTATTTTTAGAGGCTGGGCTCTATGAGGAGAAGTGTGATGTCAGGATTGGTAGAAGATTAATCAACAATCTGCGTTATGCAGATGACACAACCCTGCTTGCTGAAATTGAAGACCTGAAGCGCTTGCTGCAGAGGGTCAAGGACTGCAGCCTCCAATATGGATTGAGGCTCAATGTCAAGAAGACAAAGATTCTCACCACTGGACCAATTGGTAGCATCAGGATGGATGGTGAAGAGATTGAGATTGTCCACAGCTTTAGTTTGCTTGGCTCCACAGTCAAAACTCTCGGGACCAGCAGCCAGGAAATTAAAAGACTTATTGTGATAGGAAAGTCTGCTGATAGGGACCTCTCCAAAGTACTGAAGAGCAATGGTGTCTCTCTGGAGACTAAGGTGCATCTGATATAGGCCATGGTCTTTGCTATCACTTGTTATGCATCAAAGAGTTGGACAGTGACTAAGGAGGATAGAAGGAGAATTGATGCCTTTGAGCTGTGGTGCTGGAGATGAGTATTGAGGGTACCATGGACTGCTAGGAAAACAAACAGATTCATCCTGGAAAGGGTTAAACCAGGCAGTTCCTTGGAGGCAAGGATTCTGGGGCTCCGTCTGACATACTTTGGATATGTTGTAAGGAGTGACTGGTCCTTGGAGAAGGACATCATGCTTGGCAGGGTGGAGGGACAGCGCAGGAGGGGAAGACCCCCTATGAGGTGGATTGATTCAGTGACTGGGATAATCGGGATGGGTGTGTCAGAGACAGTGCGATTGGCACAGGACAGAGCGGAGTTTAGGGCTGTTGTACATAGGGTCGCTATGAGTCACAAGCAACTCGACAGCACATAACAACAACAACATCCACTAATTGAGGCCACCTCCTTGGTGATAACAATTTGTATGGATCTGTCATCTGGTTGTATCACACATTGGTTAGCCCTTGCTCTGTTGGTGGAGGTATGAGTTGCTTCCAACTGTTTGCAATTCATTCACTCACTCACTCAACAAATAACCATTAAGTGCCCACTGAATTCCAGGCAGAAGGAGCTCTGTTGGCTCAGTGGGTAGAAACTTGGCTACTAATCAGAAAGTCCAGAGTTTGAGCCCACCACCTGCTATAGAGGAGGGAGCTGGGCCGGTCTCTTTCCACAAAGACTGCAGCCTCGGAAACTGGATGAAGCCGTTTTGTTCTTCATCACAGAGTTGCTCTGAGGAGAGGGATCAACATGATAGCAGCAAGTTTGTTCTTGAGTTTTCATTTGTTTGTTTAAATTCTAGGAATGGGGAATACAGCCATGAGCTTGCGCAGAATAAAGCTTAATGAGAAAATGAGATGTTTGCTTTTTACCTCTAATCCTCAGGGAGAGTCAGGTGCCTGACAAGCGCCCTCTCAGTGGCCGTCCCAGCCAGCTTTGACATCCCACAGACATACGTCCCTGTGTGTCAGTTACTGTCCCCACAGGGTCAGCTCCTGGAAGTCACCGCCAGCAGTTCTGTTCAGGAAACAATTTTTGGTAACATTTTCACGGCTTCTGAACTGATTTGAACTCTGAGTTTATACAGGGAAAACAAGCAAACACCAAAATGTTCCACTCCTCTCTTGTGGCTTGAAAATATCTGTCCTGGCTGGTCTGTCACTACAGGATTATTCTGAGTCAAAAAGTATTGCTTTAAAATGATTCTAGACATAATTAGCAAAATATGGGGTAGAGATTTAAACAAAAAAATAAATAAAA